TCTTTTCTACTCAGATGAGATGAGGATATTCAAAGGACAAAATGTGATATCTATCCTGAAGCACTTTAAAGGTGTGCTGTGTAACTTTTCTGATGAAGGGTGTGCTACCTGCTTCATCACATAGATATGTTATTGCCTTTCCTGAAATGTTCCACAATATTGCATTAAAGGGCCCATATTGGTCAATGTCATGATGCCGTTTCCTCATCAAAAACATTTCTGGAGTTTTGTTTCATTCGTACATTTTCAACACACAACACCCTGCATATTTAGGCTGAGCTCTTCTCTCAAATGGAAAACACTCTGTTCCACCTTACGATATCTTGTGGTAACTGTGTTTTTAAACTCCATACACCTTCATTAGAATCAACTGGATGATTTCAGCTCTGGAATTGCCATTCTCTACTGAACTAAAGGTAAAAGTAAACTTGAAAGCTAACACTTCATAACATCACAAGATGGGATAGAGCATTTTGAGCGTTGAAGATGTAGTCAGACAAATAATAAATCGTTACTGTACTGTAATGGTTACTGTAAATGAAACAAAACACAACACCAGGTATGTTTTTGATGAGGTAATGCTATATATGCGTCCTGAATTTCTGACTTTTGGTTTTCGCACAATGCATACTGGGAAGGGTCCTCCGAAAAAGTGAGCATCAAACCGCCATGTTTGATTTCCCAGTGAGAGGCGTCTATTATCAAAGCCGAAATTTTCAAGTCTTTTGAACCATATCACTTTAGTTTCTGGTTCTGATATTGTCATATTGTCATGGACATTTCCCAGCTGAAAAATCAAACATGGCGGTTTGATGCTCACTTTTTCAGAGGACCCTTCCCAGTATGCATTGCAAGATGACCAGAAGTCCGAAATTCAGGATGCATTCTAAAGTGGCTTGAAGCTCACAAGAATCCATTTTGTCTAATATAGGACATAAAGACAATGAAGACAAGCAAGGGATTCCACCTGGCCAAGTTAAAAGCCAGCTCTACGGAGAGGTGACTAAGCTGCTGTGTCAGTAAAACAAATGTAACTGAACAAATGCAAGAAGCTAATGCCATATTTTGGAAAGCAATAACACTGCCATGGAGACAAGCAGGTAGTGGATGACCAAAAGAAACGTTACATAGTTCAGCTTTAAGAGGACCTGGAGTTGAACTTATGATCTTCAAAGCCATTTAATTTAATGACTGCAGGTGACTAGTTCTGATCACATAAAACAGAATACAACGTGCATCACAGTTAGTTGCATACTGGTTGTATATCAGGCAGGTGAGTGATACAGTGAACATTGTAACTCCCAATAACACATGTTTTCTATTACCTTGTCTTAAAATGGCAAAGAATACCACTTGTCCATTTGCCAAACCTTTGGGCCTTTTGGTTGGAGAAAGAAATTTTAGCTGTGTAGGCGTTAGGTGCTGTATTTACTTTTCTTTCTTTCTTTCTGAGTCTTACTAAAAGTTTCAGTACAATATTTTTTAGATGAATTTGTTAAAAATCTAAACAAGCAAACTTCACGGCTAATAGGGTATCATGTACAGCAGCCAAGTTACATAATTCCCAACATTCCTACCTGCATCCTGTGTAGTTTTTGGCTCATGTTGTGCATTAGGCTTGTGTCCAGTGCTAGGGGACATCGGGACAGCCAACAAACAGCACAGCGAGGTCTGCATGATCCACAGCTAAACGCCCACGCACCCATCACACCGGTAACACAGCCTCACACTCCAAGCACATGAAAACTATAGGAGGTGAACTGGAGAATGGGCAAGGTGGTAAGAAAAACAAACTGGTGATACATGCAGTCTGATTGGTAAATAAGAGCAAAAATGTGAAAAAAATTAGGTGATGAAGCTAAAAAAATGTTTTATTTTAATTATTTTGAGTAATGGAACAAGAAAAATAAAAAGCAGTCATCTTATGTAAGCACAAGATAGATCCCAGCTCCGGTCAGTGGATTTTGTATTTTTTAAGCCCTGATGAAGACCAGTTAAGGTCGAAACATGTTGGCTTTGGCCATTCAAAAAAAGGCCTTTTAACTATATTTTTCCTCGTGCGATTTTTTTAACTTTTTCTACTTGTTTGGGGTGCCTGGAATCTGTTGTGTTTGAGTTTAGATCCTTTTTCCAAGAGCACCCTCTACCTACTCGTACTGATTGGAACACCTGCAGCAAACAGCCACATTTTTGTTCTTTCAGTGTATTTTGTTGTTGTGCACTTGAGCAAAACACTAGCCTGTTTGAATGCGGTGTATGAATGGTTAGAGGGGCAAGGGCTGGTTGATATGGAATGAAAAATGTAAATTTGTAAAAATTTTATTTGGTGATCAATCAGAATTTTCGATTCAGCAGATTTTTTTCAGCACATTTAATTCCTTTTAAGTCTGAATTTTGCTTCAAAACACACAAGGACAGACTGTAAACCTTCTGGTTAAAGGTCTTACATTACATAAAATTGACTTTTGTGCGCTTTAGAATGTTTTTACCTCCTCAAAAACAGACCTGGAGTTGTGTTTTGTTTCATTCACACATGTTTGAGTAACCCTTTATTATTAGTCTGTCTACATCTCCAAAGCTCAAAATGCTCTGTCCCTGTAGCTGTAGTTTTCAAGTTAGCAGCTTCCCTTTTCCTTTTGGTCAGTAGAGACAGGCAATATTGTATTGAAACTCCAGCACTGAAATGATCCAAATGATTCTAGTGAAGGTAAATGAAGTCCAAGGTCGGGCTTCTCTCTCGCTGACTTTTTTTCAAATAAATATATGTTTATAAAATGTATGCTAAAACGATGTGTGGATACTAAACTAAGGAATACTTGTTATAAAATAAATAATATAGATAAAACAGAGAAGTAATGTAATGTAATTGCTATTTAACTACTAACCAGGATCCGCAGAGCCAGAGCTCTGCGCACGTGAACGCCCCCTCTTCATTTAATCATCTTCCCCTCCGCAAGTCTGCATCTATTTTGACCTGGTATCCCCAATATGGAGGAGCAAGAAGTTAAGGATAAACTAAAGGCAGGAGAACTGAAAAGACAAACACGCACCGGTAAGAGTGAGGTGTGGAAAAGCTTCAAATTGATTGTTGAAAATGCTACAGAAACTTGCGTTGGCTTCGCTGAATGTAGTCAATGTGACGCTTTGCTTTCATACGCGAGTCCTCACAAATAAAATATGACATTTCGGGTTTGCTTCGGGCTCGGGCCTGCAAATCAAGTTAATTGGTCGGGCTCGGGCCGGGTCGGGTTTTAATACCCACGGGCCGGGTTGGGTTTTAATACCCGCGGGCCAGGTCAGGTCGGGCTGGATTTTTTAGGCCCGATCTCACCTCTAAAATGAAGTTTAAAACACAGAGGAGCACTTCCTGTATTACCACATGACGTGAGTGTTTTCTGTTTGAGAGAAGAGCTCAGCCAAAATCTGCAGGCTTTGTGTGTCTGTTAAACATGTATGAACGAAACAAAACAAAACTCCAGAATATTTAATGAGATGATAACATAGATCAGAAAATGGCACAAAATAGAGCCTTTAAAAGTCCAAAGCATATCACTGACCATATTAAACAATTGCATCGCCATTCAGTGTAACTAGATTCAGCTAAAGGGCAGTTGCGGTCGCTTATCAGTGAATGAAGAACGCAGTTTAACACATCTTGCCTGTGTCTCGTATCACTAAATGCTTTGCGTACATTGTTGTGACTTGAAGGACATGACAAGCTCAGTTAGCACTCCTGATACAGACATAGTGCAATGACAGCCCTCCCTCTCTCCCTCTCTCTCTCTCCTCTGAGTTAAAAGACTTGCTCTCATTTAACACTTGAAGAGTCACGAAGCTGAGGGCTCTTCTCTGTCCTCTCTTCAAGTAAGCCTGGTCTAATGCTCTAATCGGACACCTGTCTTCTGCGGTCGCTATGGAACCTCCAAAGCTGTAATCATGGGAGTCCTGTCCTGTCAAGTGTCTGTCAAAATCATTTTAGATTTTAAAGAGATTTTACAAAGATACCGACAAGTCCCAAGTTAAGCCTCTTTTAACTTTGTTTGTAGTTTGTTAAAGTTTGAAATTGTAGCCTGTCTCAAAAGTTGGCGTGAAATCAGTGGTACAAAGTAAGACTGAACACTTTCAATTTTCAGGGTTGTAACTTGATGACTGTAAAATAGAGGGACAAACTTTAGGAGTGTACTGCCATGACAAGGCACTTCTTTCTGAAATAATCATTTACAAGATGTATTCCTTGTGATCCAAATGAGAGCATTTCCCAAATCAAACTTGCATATCTCAAACAAGCAGAAGTGTAATAAACAACATCATAATTTCCCCAAAGTACTGGTGTATCAGGTTTCAGCCGGTTTATGTAAAAAAAAATTATAAAAAATAGACCCTCATCTTAAAACTGCATGGACATGTGAAAGTAGAAGATGCTAATGCAGGACTTAACCCCACTTGAGTCTGTGTGGGTTCAGTGTTTTTCATGAGGAAGTTCATGAAATCATTTACACTTCAAACACAGCTCTGTGCTCTGTGATCTTCACTCAGAGTAATTATGCAAAGTTTACTCCGCTCGCATGAGAGGGGCAGGTGAGCAAGGTTGAGCTGCTACAATCTGACCTTGAGTTGTACGATCAGTTTATACGCTTATCTCAGAATGACAGGATACAACACTACAAGATTGGGTCATAACAAAGCTCACACCTCATATACTGTAGTGTGTGTACAATTCACGAATATACTAAGTACATGTGGATTGAGAATGTAAAGGCATGTGTTCATTTCTTCAAGCGGGACAAATGCATGTATATGATCTTTGCTCCAGGAATATGAATATATTAGAGAATCTGCATTTTTAGCGGCCCTAAAATAAAGACAGACAAAAACCTACCCAATACAACAACCAGCTCATTGTGTTACTCCTTTGTGAAGCCATAAGCGCTCACATCACATTGCATTGGGTGACAGTAGAGTTCATGTAGATAAAGTGCAGTAGTTGATTGAGTTCCTACCTGGTTGATGATATAAATGCCGTAGTCGATTCTCTGTCGTCTGAGGATGGGGTGGAGGTAGTGCAGCCAGTATTTCAGGTGGTTCTCTCTGTGTCGAAATGGGATGATGATGGCCACCTGTAACAGTCAAATGGATTTTTGTAGTTCACAAAATGGTCAAATTTAAAAATAATAAAAAGGAAAAACATGTAAAACCTTTTGGAGAGGTCCAGACTCACTCCTGACTTTCCCAATGCTACTCTTTCTTATCATTGGTCAAAATTAGGGGGCTGAGTTTATAAGCATGTTTAAAACTATCCGAGTTTTGCAATCATGATAATGTTAAAAAACACAGCATACAAACAGCTCAGTTCCTGATTCTCTAAGGATAAAAAGGTTCAATACAGACAGCAGACAGTTGCCTCATTTATACCAGAAGAGCTGCTTTTATAATATATCTGTACTAGAGAAAACAAAAGTACATAGAAAAAAATTGTAGAGCAATTTTATGGAATGTCTAATGTAAGAAACCTAACACTTAATCAATATGTATTCACATTTGTAGAAGAGTTGCTAACACCTTGTTAAGTCAATTTTATCTGCATTATATTTTTCAAGGTTATTTTGAAATGTTGTGTCAATCTATGGTGCAATATATAACTATAAAAATATAAAAAGAAGCTTTGAAGTGTCATTGCACTTGTGTCTTCAAGTACAGGGACAGGTTCAGGGTTGTACATAATCATTTTTAAAAAAGGGTTTTAAATGCCCCTCAGATAACCATGACATTTCATTTCATTCCTTTGCAAACATTTTCACTTCATTCAAGTTGCAGAATTCATAAAAAAATTGGATCACTGGCATGTCTTTCTTAACAGATTTTAATTAAAATGAAGGATGTTTTATCTTGACAGGACAGAACTTGACTCATCGTTACTGTTTGTTTGCCTTGTGTTTTTTGTTGTGTAGTTTTGTTTGTGATGATCGTGGAGACAGGAGTGGGTTGTGGGAGGTTTTTTGTTTGTTTGTTCAGGTTTTGTTTTCTTTATATATAATTTCAAAGTTGGAAAACTAAAAATGAAGGATGTTTTTGGTAGTTTGGTAGCTTTTTTTTTTTTTTTATCCATACCTTCCACCTGGGCCTGCAGTCGGGTGGGCTGTAGCGGCCTCCCTCGGTAACATTGGGATTCTCCTTTTGCACACGCTCCATGGTCATCTGGGAACTGAACTCAATCAACAGACGACCCACTGCAAAGAGAAAACAAGAAAAAAAACATGTTTAAATTTGGATCTTAAAGAGGGAATGAATCTTAGCTGCAATCAAAGTCTGATCCAAAGCAACAACACAGGGATATCAATGTTGTTGAAAAGATGAAAGATTCTTCTGCTTATTCTGCCATATTTGATTTAAACACATTTCTTCTGTGCAGTGGAAGCTCTTCAAATCTTATATCAAATTCCATAAATCAAATCAGAAACGTACCCTCTTGGATTGACAAATTATTGGATTGACTTAAGTTTTGCTGTAGTTATACTGTGATGTTTTTGAGAGAACATTGACCTTCCTTTTCAGAGATATGATTCTTGATAAAGTGAGTTTCAAGTCATGGCATTGTTACCAGTTTATTTAGGTAACTTTTGGCTGTTCATAGTTTTTTATAATCCTCACACTCACACATACACTGTATTTGAATGTTGCCTGTTTGTGTTCTTCTGCAGTCTCCTCTCTTCCTTAGCCTCTGTGTTGTGATTATATGTGGTCATGTACAAGACAAATTCCCCTTGGGGCGATAGAGGTTTTCAATCATTCATCTTTACTGCAATGTCGCTGGTAAAATGTATGTTGTTATTCAAGGACCAAGTCACCAACAGAAAAGAATAATGTACAATATGGATAGATGCTTCACACAAAACTCCTTGCAAAACTACCACAAAAATGTGCTCCTGGCCTTCATGAAAACATTCCATTCAATCCCAAAAAGTAAAAAATATAATGTACACTGCCAAACAGGTTTGACAAAAGAATCGTCAGGAGAATTAACGATAGATTTCCGATTAATCATTAACGTTTTGATATTAAAATTATCATCATTATTAACTTTACAACATATAAACCATAACCACTATAGAGCCACATCAGTCCGTTTGACATTATGTTTAATGTTTAATGTGTTTAATGCAGTTTGACACATTTGTTTACGTTTTACAGAAACAAAACTTAAACCCACATGGCATCATTTGAATAAAATATAAAGCCCAGAAAAAAAACAGCTCTTTCCTTTTGCCCTGATGCGGTTCAGCTTCTGTCGGACTAAAGGACACGACTCAGTGGAATATGAGTGTTCTCTCTGTGACAGAGGGATGGTGATGAAGATAATGGTGAGTCTGTTCTGTGTGTGTGTGTGTCGCGTTGGAGATGGTTCATGTTTTCAGAGATCATACATGTGCAGGTTTAGTGCAGCTCTTTATTTATCTCATTTCACTGACTTTATTTATGTTGCTCACTTTATTTATTTTGGTTACTGTTGTGAGGAAAAGACTGAAAAGTGTGACGAAACTGGGACATTCAAAAAACCCGATCATAACCAGGACACTGATGTACATGTAAACACACTCATTGCATTTGAAGGCTTTATGACTGAGCAGCAGCAGCAAGTTGTACTTCCTGATAGAAAACTTAGCAGCAGCGGAGAGATATGAGAAAATAGTCCCTCGGCATGCGACGATTCATGTGATGCAAGGTTAGTTTTATTTCAAACATTATTCTATCAACAAAGACATTTACATTGACAATCTGGTGTAATAATAGATTTGCTTCAGGTGTTTTGTGGAGTGTGTAAGACTGTTTTTAGTGGCAGGCTAACTGTGGCCATTGACATGCGCTAGCCTAGCACCAGCGACCTCTGCAAATACAAGGACTGGATGGAATATCCTAAAAAGTGTCTCCACACATCTCCAACATTCTGGCTCACTAGGAAATGAGGTCCTATGTCCAAAATTCTGGACTGTCCCTTTAACCTACAAAGAGTAACGCAGGCTGTTTCGACGTGACCACCATGTGTATGAATACTCACTAGTAGTAACGCAGATGCCTCACTGAGCTCTTCAGGTACACCATAATAACACACTTAGCATCGACATGTCCTCTGTGTCGAGTGCTCTCCTCCAATCAACAGCAGGCACCCCAGTGGCAGATCAATGGCTAACAGCTTACATGTTCATAAGAGCCCTCCTCTTTATCATAGCACGCTACACAGGCTGAATGCTAATGCTGCCTCTTATACATGTGTCCCTTCGCCTACAGAGCTGAGATACTAGAGGTTGCTCTGTGTCCTTATATAATGTGCCAGATGTTTAGCTTACAGTATCATTAGCCAACTGTGGCCTTAGACAGTGTTATTAATGACTTCTTCATGGGAAAATGCTACATTTGCCGCTTTTTATGAAATTATTAAATATATATCTGCAACTGTGATGCTGTGGGTGGTCTGATAACAAACCACCCACTTTATGTCCTTTATTGAGCAGTGAATGTAGACAGATAAGAAATAATATGAAAATAGAACTTACATTCACTTACTGCACATGGAATCTACATAGATGAGACTTCATTGGAAAGTAAAAGACAAGTTTATTAAAATATGAATATGAAAACAAAGTCATGTCATAGTTTGGTTTTTTTTTTTCAATTTCTATAATAAATTAATATATTAATAATAAAAATAAAAATCATTCAAGCAACTGAACTTTTTTTTTTTTCCTTTTTTTCCATGATTTACAGGTCATAGTCTAAAAACCTAAACAAAACTATAATATTAGGCTAGTGCTCAGTCAGGCTCCTCCTTGTATTTAAGTAGCGTACAGGTTCATTTTTAATTGAATTTTCTCCTAATTGAAAATTTAAATTATAATCAAGTTGTCATTTTAAAATATTTATGGCAAAGCTCTCTGTGTCACACTAATTCAGCTCTATAGCCTGTGTAGTCTGTTCAATGAACCATGCTCATGATTCTGTTATGAAGACACATGTGTTTTAATAAAAGATACAAATGTAGTGTTTAAATATATGTTTTGTTAAAATGATGAATGGGAAGATGTATCTGAAGTTGACAGCAGTGCAATTACAGATGACCTCAGAACATCCCATTGTAATCTATACTCCGATATTACACTCATACATTATATCCACTGAGCTTGATCTCTCTATGTGAGGCACACAGCACACAGGGAATACATGAAAAAAACCCAGCCCCTGTATACCAATGCAAAATGTATATTGAAGACTATAGGGCTGGGTGATATGACAAAAATATACATTTGTTTTGTTTTCCTCATATTGATCAGAATTACTATTATTATTATTATTTTTTTGTCTTATCAAAAATTAAATTGGAACCAGCAACCCAATGGCAGCAAGTCACCTCATCTCTATTTCAAAATACATCCAAAATTATTGTACGGGTGGAAGATATTGAGTATTTATTTATTACTATTAAAAAACAAAAACAAAAAACAAAAATCCAAAATAACAACTTTTCCAACCTATGGCTCGGGAGCTACAAGTAGCTCTCCACCCTCTTCCAAGTAGCTCGGAAGGATTTCTGAATTATATGTAATGTGCTTAATACTGCACTGGCTTCCTGTGAGCTTCCGGATAGATTTTAAAGTTCTTTTATTGGTTTATAAAGCTCTTAATGGTCTTAGTCCTATTTATTTATCTGATCTGCTTTTATCATATGAGCCCTCTTGGACTCTGAAGTCCTCAGGTAGTCTTCTTTTAACTGTACCAAGAGTTCAAACTAAACTAAGTTCAATCTAACTACATACAGTCCAAAGCATGCTATAGCTCTTCTGGATTCTTAATTTCCTGCTACTGCTAAAATGATTAGCTCTCTGGTATTTTCGTTTCATGTAGGTAGCTCACCAGAGGTAAAATGTTGGAGACCGATGGTTTAAGCAAATTTTCAATAAACAATAAAAAGGCTATAAACAGCTTTGAACTAAGAATTTCTGTTTCTTTTTTTCAAAACTATGAAAAAACATGTGAAAAACCTAACCTATACTGACGGAAGTGTGAGCTGCAAGGCTGAAGGATGAAATCACAAATGCAGGAGCAGTCATGTGTTCCATAATTTCAAGTGACACTGAATCTGTTTAGGGACTGCATGTTTTCATTTTGAAGATTTGCTTTGCTTTTTCTCTACATAGAAATATATCAAATCAGTATATCACCTCCTCGCTGTCATGTCTTATACAGAGCTGATATGTGAGGTTCAACATGGGATTTGAAGCACCTTGACGAATGACACAGAAGAGAAAACAAAAAAACATCAACAACATTTGGACTTAAAACAATATATTATTTTTATTTTTCTATTTTATACGAGGTGTTCTAGGATAACGAATGGCCAAGCGATATAAGTGGGGATAAATAATGATAGTGACCACAGGAGGAGACACGGTGTCCATAAACATAAAATACTCACTCATGTTTTAAGAGGTTTGATAGACATGTCTTTTATTATGTTTGAAAGGCTGCCATTTACTGTCTGTTTGTGCATGTGACACACACTAAAATGGAGCTATCACAAAGGGAAGGCTGAATTAGACAAGAATTAGTGTAAAAGGAGAAAAAAAAAGTTAATGGTTCACTACGTAACGTTTCTAATGGAAGGTCAGTCACCTGTTTGTCTTTATGTCATTACTTTGCCCAACATGTTCCACAGTATAACATTACATGGATTTATCTAAGTGAAGACAGTGATGCCACCAAGCTATAGATGACATAGAGTTTTTGGTTGGGATATAAGGTTACATAGTACGCCTTTAAGTAAAAGTAGGCTAATTCAATATGAGATGTCCAAAGTCTATCTTAAGTAACAGTAATATGTTACTTAAGATAAACAATAATATGGGCTGCAGACATACATCTATTTTCTTGTCATCTTAAATAACTAACTTCAGAAACCATATCAGTTATATTATTGTTTCCCAAAGACTGGGTCGCAAGAGATTTTTTTGGGTCACCTTGTCATGATCTGGATGTAGGTCTGCAATATCCATATACATACATCTCTGCGCACCCCTCGCTCCTCACTTCTTGTCCGGGAACACCGCCTTGCCTAACCAATTTTCTGTGGGAAACACTAATTACTGTTTTTCCTTGTTTAAAACTTGGGTATCATTATTTGTGAACTATAAGGTACACTTAAAATCCCTTAATTTTCTCAAAAATCAGCAGTGTGCCT